TGCCAGTAGTGATTCAAGCTGGATTCTGAAGAGCTCATGCAACAGTGAGTATAATTGCAACTTTAGATTAATCTTGGCTGGAATCAGGTTACTAGAAAATGTTTCCTTATTTTATTGACTAGATAAAGGCATTTGTGTGAACCATAATAATTCATGACATTGAGAAAAGGAAATTCTAGAACACTTTGGTTGTCCTTATGCAAGACTTGTAAATAGAGCAAAAAGGAGTCATTCAACAGAACAAGGAGATATTGCATGGTTTAAAATCAGGAAGGCTTGTTTCAGGGATGTGGCCTTTAACCATGCCTATTCATTATGCATGCTGAGGAAATAATCCAGAAATCTGTGTTATATGAAGAGAATGTGGCCTCAAAGTTGGAAGATTTATCAACAACCTGTGTTGTGCACATGACAGTCATGCTTGCCGAAAGTGAAGAGACCTTGGAGCATTTACTGGAGAAGTTAAAAAAACTACAGCCTTCAGTATGTATTACACCTCAACATAAAGAAAACAATTATCACAAAAAGACCAATAAACAACAACATGATTGATGGAGAAAAGATTGCCCTTTTTTTTTTGTGTGTGTGTACCATCAAATCTGATCTGATGGGTACAGATTTCCCATCCTTCTCCAGCAGAGCATCTGGTGGATTTGAACAGTGCACCTCTGGGATTGCAGTGCAGCTTCTTGCCACTAGGCTACCGCCATTTTTTTAGGCACATGTTATTCTTCACACACACACACATACACACACACACACACACACACACATTGTTTTACTTACAAAGATTGCCATTTTTAAGGATTTTCTTTTACTTGGATCTACAGTCAACACCCTTGGTAACAGCAGTCAGATAACATACTGCATTGGGAAATCTGCTGCCAGGAACTTCTTTAAAGAGCTAAAGAGCAAGAATGTCACTTTAAAGACTCAGGGGTACCTTACCCAAGCCATGGACTTGTCAGTCACCATGGATGCTTGTGGAAAACTGGATCATGAATAAGGATGATGGAAGAATTAGTGCCTTTGGCTTGCAGTATTGGCAAAAAACAGTGACTGTTTCATGGCCTGCAAAAGAACAAACCAGTCTGCCTTGGAACAACCATAGTGTTCATGAGAAGCAAGAATAGTGGAGATTTTGTTTCACAAACTAGGAATGATGCCTGGAGGGTGTAGTCCCTGGGGCAGGACATCATGCTTGGGAAAGTTACAAACAGGAAAGCCTTAAGGTGGATTTTCACAGTGACTGAAACAATGGGCATAAACACAGCTGAGATTGTGAGGGTGGGGTAAGGTTTTGTTCTGTTGTACATAAAATTGCTAATTGGAGAGCAACTAATAACTTTTCCCTCACCTTGTTTGTTCCTCTCTTTAATAGTCATCATCCAGAAGTCTATATACTTTTATATTCTTTTCTCTTCATTTCGATGTAAAACCTTTGTCCACTCTTTTCTCTGCTGTTTTCTCAGTGCCTATGCTAGCACCTGGCACACAGTAGGTACTTAGAATTTGTTCAATGAGTGACTGGTGCTAAGGCAGGCTGGTCTTGTACTCCATGGGGCAGTGGGCACAGGCCAGGGATGGCTAGACTTGAGGAAGACACCTTTTCCCCACTGCAGGGCCAGGGGCAGCAGCTACACTGCATGGCTGTGACAAACTTCTCCACACTCGCTCCAACATGGGCGTTTTCTGGGCTCATCATCTTCGCTTTCCCTGTTGCTCTGTTAACAGTATAATGTTTACTGTGAAGTCTCAATACATAGATTTGCTGCAGAGAAATGGAATGGTTATGGCTTGAATGTCTACTATAATTCCTTTCTCTGTTGGGAACCAAACAAGGTCTGCACAGTTGTTCTGGAATTATGCAAGCAAAGGAGAGAAGCAGACAAGGACACCCTCTTACTTGTTAGGTGCTGTGAAATTAATTGTCCTGACTCATGGTGACCCTTGGACAAAGGACAAAATGCTGCTCAGGCCTGCACATCTCTATTATCTGATAGAATGTGGCTCTTGTTGTTTGGAACTGTCAAGGTGACTATGACTCATAGGGTCTCTGTGAATAACATGGAACTCTATGCCTTCCTCATGATCTCGGCCCTGCTTATTTTAGCTACTATATCAGTTCATCTCATTGAGGGTCTTCCACTGATTTAGCTTTTTCCTCCCTGTACACGAATGCTCATATTGCCTTTAGTATAATCAGCAGTGCTGTTCATCAGCATATGAACAGAGAAACAAATGTGTAATATCCTCTCAGATCCCTAAGGTTGTCGCTGACTGATTTTTCAGAAATAGATCGCTTTTATTCCTAGACTACCTTAATCTGTTAGCTCAGAGGATACTATTTTGCACAGTAACGTCACCCAAGTCTCTTGAGGTGTATTGGCCTGGAATGGGAATGTCTCCTGTGTCAAAGATGAGAATTCTACTCCCTGAACCACTCAAAACTAAAACCAGTGCTCGCTTCGGCAGCACATATACTAAAATTGGAACGATACAGAGTAGATTAGCATGGCCCCTGCGCAAGGATGACACACAAATTCATGAAACGTTCCATATTTAAAAAAAACAAAAAACAACAACACAAAAAAAGCCTAAAACCAAACCTATTGCCACCAAGTCAATTCCAACTCAGAGCAACTCCAAAGGTCACAGTAGAACTGCTTGGCTTTTGATTAGCAACTGAGCACTTAACTGCTGTGCCACCGGGGCTTCTTCACTGTCCCTTCTTTCAGTTTCTCTAGTGGCTTGCAACCTACCCAGCAGCTCCCTCGATGATCAACTCCCATAAGGATTCTCTCTCACATATTGATACAGATTTAGAACCGTCTCTTGTCTGACTCTCCAACTCTTTCCGAGGCCCCCAGAGAGCTTGCCTATCTCTCTCGCAGGATCCACTGGTGGATTTGAACCTTTAGAGAGGCGGGGCTTTTGGATTCTAGCACAGCTCACCACAGGGTACATCATCTAGAAAACCCAATGGAGGCTTTCTCCCCTCCTTTTCTGCTGACAGCATGCTGCTTTTCCAGTGTTTTGGGTTTTTTTTTTACCCCCGTTTCCCTCTCTTCTTTTTTACTTTAACTTTTTTGCGTGGTCCGCCTTTCATTATGTGTCTGTTTTAATAACCACTTTTCACTTGTTTTGCTAAAAAAAAAACCACAAACCTATCACCCAACCAAACAAAAACCCCAATGAAGACCTAAAACGATGGGGTGATAATAAACATAGATCAGTGGTAACTATACAAAATATAGTGTGTATGTTTGTATAAAACACAATGTACATGAATGAGACACAATATATATGAATGACTGTATAAAACACAAAGTACATGTACAAAACAAATGTCCAGGAATTATTCTATGCAAACCAATACAAAATTAACTACAACAAGCCCAAAACACTATGAGGCAGTTTTGCTCTGTCCTATGTTGTTGCAACACAATATGCATTGAGGCTCAATGTCAAGAAGACAAAGAATCTCACCACTGGACCAATTGGCAGCATCAGGATGGATGGTGAAGAGATTGAGATTGTACACAGCTTTAGTTTGCTTGGCTCCATAGTCAACAGTCTTGGCACCAGCAGCCAGGAAATTAAAATGCGCATTGCTGTTAGGGACCTCTCCAAAGTGTTGAAGAGCAATGGTGTCTCTTTGGAGACTAAGGTGCATCTGATACAGGCCATGGTCTTCGCAATCACCTGTTATGCATCAGAGAGTTGGACAATGACCAAGGAGGATAGAAGGAGAATTGATGCCTTTGAGCTGTGGTGCTGCAGAACAGTATTGAGAATACCATGGACTGCTAGGAAAACAAACAGATTTGTCCTGGAAAGGGTTAAACCAGGTGGCTCCTTGGAGGCAAGGATTCTGAGGCTCCATCTAACATACTTTGGACATGTTGTGAGGAGAGACCGATCCTTAGGGACATCATGCCTGGGAGGGTGGAGGGACAGTGCAGGAGAGGAAGGCCCTCTATGAGGTGGATTGATTCAGTGACTGGGATAATTGGGATGGGAGTGTCAGAGACAGTGCGATTGGCACAGGACAGAGCGGAGTTTAGGGCTGTTGTACATAGGGTCGCTATGAGTCGCAAGCGACTCGACGGCACATAACAACAACATGTTGTTGCTATGTGCCGTTTAGTCAGTTTCATAGCTGACCGTCCAGCGAGTTTTCAGAGGTAGTTAATATCACAGGAGGAGACTGCCCATCCTTTCTCTCGCGGAGCTACATTCAAACCGCTTGCCTTTGAGATTGCACTAGATTACCACTAGCCTACCAGAACTCAGAATTCACCCAGGGCAACTAACAGCATAATAGTAGTAGAAGCATCTGAAAAGTCCTATGCTTTGCAGTTCCTGCCTTGGCCAGCTGGCTGCTGCAGCTGCAGGACATGAATCAGCAGGACTTAAAAGTCACCTGGTCTTGGAGGCGGAACAGGAACCGCAGCCCCGCTCCTTTACCCACGCAGAAGCGAGCTTTCCGGGAGGGGGCGTGTCCGCTGTTGGCACCGCCCCCCAGTCCGTCAGCGAATGAGCGGTGGGCGGCCCCGGGAAGCAGCGACAATGGCCTTCCTTGAGGGGCGTGTCTGCGCCTGGCTCCACCCCTCCGGCAGTGTATAACTGGACAAGGTGCGAAGGCCTTCCGTGAAGGGCGTGTCCATCTGGCCCCGCCCTCCCCGGCAGCAAATGAGAGGGCGCGGCCCGGGGAGCCGCGGCAATGGCCTTCCATGAGAGGCGTGTCTGCGCCTGGCTCCACCCCCTGCTCTGGCTGCGTGTTAGTGGGCAGAGTTCAGTAGCCTTCCGTGAAGGGCGTGTCTGTGTCTGACCCCGCCCCCGCCCCAGCAGCGAATGAGCGGGCGCGGTGCGGGGCTCGGTGGGCGGTCCCAGGCGGAGCGGAGGCGGTGCTGGCGGAGACACCCCGCCAGGCCTGGGGCGCACCCGGGAGAGCTCGGGAGGAACCCCGCTCCCGCTGCCGCTTCATCGGCCTGATTTCCGTCGGTACCAACATGGCTGCAGCCCTGCGCACTGCAGGCGCCCTTCTCCGCCGCCAGCGTAAGTGGACTATCGCAGTCATGTGACTGTGGGGCTGCGGGCCAGCGCCAGGCCGGCGGGGGGCTTCCGAGAAAGGCGGCGGGACCGGGTCCTTGCAGGGAAGATCTGGAAAGGGATCCTCCCCTGGGAGGGTCAGGAGCATGTGGATCACCTGAGGACAGGGGAGGCCGCGGGAGGTGCAGGCAATCAGCTGCCAGCCAGGTTGAGTTTTCCTCGGTAAATCCGACTGGTAACGCATCCACAGTCGCCGATGGTGAGGGATCCTGGCGGGAAAGTGGGTGGTAGGGCCTGCCCCAGAGAGAGGGTCATCACTGCCACTGTGGACATCGCGTTGGACCCTGCAGAGGGAGCGGTGGACGTCCTCACGGTGGAGGGGGTCACCGTGTATTCACTGCGCCCTGTCCCAGCCCGTGACATCCTGGACAGGCTGGAGCTTTTTAGAGCCATGTGGAGAACTGATGAGACCCACTGACAACCTCACGCGTTTCTGATGCCCACTGAGAGTAGGGCTTGTGTCCACAGGATGACATGCTAGGTGTGGGGGGTCAGACTCTCCTGGACTGTATGCTGCATCCTCCCTGGGACACAAGGCACCTAGGCTGATGGAGTTTGGTAAGAGATACAGGAGGAAGGCAGCGCCTCCCTGCACGTTACCAGTGCTCAGGAACAGTAGCCAGCACCTTGCCTCATTGGCAGTGGATAAATAAGAAACCCAAAAACGGATCGCTGTAGAGTTAATTCTGACCCTTAATGGCGCTGGAGGACAGAGTAGAACTGCCCAGTGGTGTTTCTTAGACTTTACAGAAGCGGACTCCCTCCTCTTCCTCCTCTGAGTGGCTAGTAGATTGCAAAGGCTAACGTTTCCATGAGCTATGAGATTGTTAGGTGCCTTGAGTCAATGACAATTACTGAGACCCCCTGAACAGATCTGAAACGTGCCCTGTCCTGTAACCATTGTCACCATTTCTGATATGTCAGTCTGTCTTGTAGAGGGCCTTCCTCTCTTTCCCTGACCCTTCACCTGTCCCGGCATGATGTCTTTTTCCAAGAACTTGCCACTCCTGACAACATGCCCAGTGTAGGTGAGACAAGGTGTCACCATGCTGGCCTTTAAGGAGTACCCTGATTGCACTCCTCCAAGACAGACGTGACTAAGGCAGTCCATGAGATGTTCAGTGCTCTTTGCCGACACAACAACTCAAAGGCCGTGCCACTAGGCCTCTATTAAAACAAACCACAACATTGCTGGCAAGTCAGTTCTCACTAATAGAGAGCAGAGGCCCTCAGATTGTTCATTGTTTAATTATGGGAAAAGCTGTTGCATGCTGTTATTTTTTTTTACATAAATTAACCCATTTATTACAGGCTAGATACATGCTGTTATTGTTAATTGTTTTCCAGTCACTTTTGCGTATGCAAAGTAGAACTGCTCCAAAGAGTTTTCAAAGCTATGTGACCTTCCAGAAGTACTTCTTATTGTTGTTAGGTGCCGTTGAATTGAACACAACTCATAGCAAACAAAAGATCTGAACCCTGTTCTATCCTGCACCATCCTCACACTTCCTGACACACAGAGCCCATTGCAGCAGTCACCATGTCAGTCCACCTGGTTGAAGGTCTTCCTCTCCCTGGCCAACCATCCACCCTTCCCAGCATCATATCCTTCTAGCATCTCCTAGAAACATGTCCAAAGTATGTAAGGCAAAGCCTCATTATTCTTGCCTCCAAAGAACACTCTGGCTGCACTCTATCCAAGACATAACTGTTCATTTTCTTGGTCATACATAGGATGTTGTTCAGTGCTCTTCTCCAACACCATAGCTCAAAGGTGTAGATTCTTTTTCTGTCATTTTTATTCACTGTCCAGCTCTCTTACTGTATAGCTAGTAATTGGAAAGACTATAGCCTGAATCAGACACACCTTAGTCTTCAAACTGACATCATTACTTCTCAATAATTTGGAAATATCCCTAACTGCAGATTTTCCCCTTATTTCCTGACTTAGCAGACCTATTTTCCAAGGTGCCTGTGGGTGGGACTGTAGAGGACGTATGAAGATAGTGAATATATTTGAGCAGTGACTGCACACAGACACGACTTATTTTCCCGAGTTCTCCAGTTTGTCAGCCCGATACCTATGGAGAGGGAGTGGAAAGAGCCCACCATGAGCCTCCAGGTCCTGTTACAGGTGCCTTTACAGCAGACCAGTCAGGACCCAAGTGCGCCGTGAGGCTCAGCTGAGCACACAGCTCACTCAGGGGACAGAACACTATCTCTTAGGAAGAGGTAGCGGCCACGGGGTTGAGAGAAACACAAAATGGGCTTTTTTCTTTTCTTTTTTTTTAAATGGGCTTTTTCTACTCAACCTTTCCAATGTTAAATAAAAGGCCAAATCTACATTTGCAGACATGGAACAGTTTGGAGACCTTTAAATTGATTATTGTCCATGTTATAAGTGACAGTGTAGAAGGATTTAAAAACACACCATTGAAGTAGCTTTAAAATCTATTTGTGTTGGGAGGGTAGTTATAATACGTTAATGATTTTTGATTAAAAGAGAGTTAATGTCTCGGTTAGGAAAAGCACTTCTGAAATGAATTCTGAAAGTAGAGATGGAGAAACAAAGTTTTACACGTCTATGTGTTTAGCATATTCTAATTAGAATTAATTAACAGGCTCCTGGGTTAGTCCATATACCATATGTGTGTGTGTGTGTGTGGGGTGTGTGTATATAGACAGGAAGAAATTGATGGAATAATGCATTATTGTTTTTCTTGGTGTTTGCCCCCAAACTTTTAAAATAATGAACTTATAAATATTTTGTAATTAGGGAAAAAACCTGCTTTATAGGAACAGAAAAAGAGTATCGGTGTTTAAATAAAAGGCATTAGAATATTAGGGGTCCATACCAAAAAGTAAGTTTTTAAAAACACTCCTTTCCCTAGATGTTTCATAAGTACTTTTTGGTACAATGCCATTTCCTCTGCAGTAAAAAAATGGCCCTCTTTTTAAGCCCTCTGGGCACTGCCTTTGCCCTTCCCTGCCTCACTGCATAGTATCCAGAGTTCTAGAATAGTCAGTTATAAAGACCCAGGTGATTCCTATGGAATTCTTCTGTCTCTGGTGCTTGTAAGGATTCCCCTGCTAGTTTTGCCAGAAGGTGTGGATGTTCCGTGTTTGTTTTTCTTATATAACCTCTTCTGCACACAGCACAGTTTTAGAGCTTTCCTTGTTTGTAGGACCTTCCATGGTAAAGTGAGATCAGAACGAGCCAGCCTTAAGCAGACAGCTCTATACTGGTTGTGCTATAGTCCTTGCTTAACCACGTGCAGTGTGCCAAGCACCGCACTAGGGGCTGGAGGTGGATTTCCAGCTAATCTGTGAAGAGCCCTGCACTGTTGCCCTTATCTCCGTTTTGCAGCTGAGAATACTGAGATGTAGTGTGGTAGTGAGTTGCCCAAGCACTTCCACCACACTGCACCCTCCGCCAGGTTCAGCCCCAGGTCACGCGCTTGCTACACCACACAGTGCTGTTTGTGCCCGTGGAATCATTTTGTCTGAATGATTAGTTAACTCTTGGTGTTGGACAACTCCTGCCTCTTGATAGAGAGCCACTCTTTGTTTATCTGGAGCCTCTAAGTGGTTGAGACGAGAGTGGATTAGAGAGAGACCCAGACAGGTGAGTGCAGTCATCGTCAGTGGACGGCTCCACCAGCCTCATCCATCACCTTCTGAGAATTTGGTCTCCATGGAGAAGAGAATGTGATAGGTAGTGGGCACGACAGTAGTTAAGCACCAAGAAAAGCTGTCATCCCTCAAATTGTACTGTTGTGTCATCGAGTTGGGACTGACCCAACCTCCAGTGCCTCCAGTAGCCGAACCTCCAGTGGGTTTTCAGAGGCTGTAAATGACCCAGAAAGAGATTGCCCATCTTTCTCCCTCTGAGCATCTGGTGGATTCAAACTGAGTGCCTTTGGGATTACAGCGTAGCTTCTTACCACTAGGTCACCAGAGCTCCCAGATTGTACTTCTTGTTGTTGTTAAGATGCCATTGAATTGTGTATGACTCATAGTGACCCCGTGAACAAAAGATCTAAACCCTGCTCTATCCTGCGCCATCCTCACACTTCCTGACACACAGGAGCCCATTGCAGCAGTCACTGTGTCAGTCCACCTGGTTGAGGGTCTTCCTCTCCTTTGCCGACCCTCCACACTTCCCAGCATCATGTTCTTCTCCAAGGAATAGCTGTACTAGAGAATCTTAATAATCTAGTTGGAGATTCTAGTCGGCTCCAACACCTCTCCCTTGACTTTTTTTTTTAAGTCAGCAGGAAGAAAACTTACTTGGTTACCAGCAGTCATATTATGGAATGTGCAGATTACACCATCACACCCCATGGAAGCAGTACTCTGTCATCCGTACTAGGAACTGTGAACCTGGCGTATGATTGAGGACTTGATTAAGCTTCACAACAGCTCAGGATTGAACTTGTCAAGAGTTGGGAAATGGGAGATGATTTCCTTGAGCTGTGGTTCTGGGAAGGAGTACTGAATATCCCATGGACTGCCAAAAGAATAAACAGATAGGTCCTGGAAAGGGTGCAGCCAGAGTGCTCCTTGGAAACAAGATGACAAAGCTTCATCTTTCATACTTTGGACATGTAGCTAGTCGAGGCTACTCCTTGGAAAGGGACATCATGCTTGGAAAGATGGAGGGTCAGTGGAGGAGAGGAAGACCCTCATGGAGACGGATTGACGCTGTGACTTCAGCTGGGCTTTAGTATCTCAGAGATGATGAGGGTGGCGTGGGGACGGGGACGGTTCAGGCTTGCTGTTGATAGGGTCGCTAAGAGTCATACTCAACCCAGTGGCACCTAACAACAGCAGCAGAAGTTGGGAGATGTTAGTTGATCTCAGAATTTGTCTGAGCAGAACTGAACTTCTCTATGCCCTCTGTGCACCTCGACTTTGGGTTAGTAAAGATTAGCCAGCATGCCTCATGTAACTGGCTCTGTTGGGAGTGTGAACAGTCTGAGTAAAACAGAAAGCTCAGGGGCCTTGAGATAGGTTATAGATGGATTGAGATAGTGTATATACACCTGGTGAGATAGTTTACAGATGGGTAGAGATAGTTCATAGATGGTTTGAGATAACTTATAGATGGGTTGAGATCGTTTATAGACGGGTTGAGATAGTTTATAAAGGGGTTGAGGTAGTTTATAGAGGGGTTGAGATAACTTATTGACAGATTGAGATAGCTCATAG